CACAGTGTACAGAAAGCCCACCCACACTGACCAGTACCTTCTCTGGACCTCAGAACACCCAACAATACACAAACTATCAGTCGTCAGAACACTATACGAAAGAACCAGTTATATCACGCAAGAGGAGGACAGACAACAGGAGGAGCAACACATCCAGCAGGTGATCACACGCTGCCAGTGTCCCAAATGGGCTATCAATAAAGGGAAACAACAACAATTAAACAACAAAAAACAAGGAAAGCACAGGAAGCCAAGGACAGCAACAAAACCATAGTAACACTACCATACATCCGGGGGATAACAGAACCGAGACAGTTCATCATGAAAAAACACAACATTGGCACTGCAATAAAGCCACACACAAAACTACGTCAACTGCTGGTACACCCCAAGGACAAGATCGAACCAGGAAAAACTACAGCAAATGCGGAAAATTACAGGAGAATAGCACCAATCTCTCCCTTGAATAAATGGGTGGAATTCAGAATTGTTCCCAGATTGTCTGTATTTTGAGAAGTAAAAAGAAAAGATTTGCTCAGTGAGAATCACAACTGGTTTAGGAGAGGGAGATTCTGAACAGATGTTCTATTTAAAGTAACGAATAAAACTAAAGACTCTTAATATGAAGGGAGTGAAGGCTATAGCTGTCTTACATACTGAGAGAGATTGACTGGAGAGAAGATCTTTTAACTAAATAGGACAAGCTAAGAATAGGTGGAAGGCTAAACAACTGATTCATGACTTTTCTATCGATTATGTTATGTCTCCAGCTTTGCTAGAGTAATGGAGATAAACATGTAGGACATGTGGGAATGTCATGACCCAAGGATGGACCATTTGTGGCGGTCCACAATTCTCTTCCTGATATCTTGTCTTAATTCTTCAGATTTTTTCATGTCATAAAAGAAGCAGTGTGTTTGAGGTGTGCCTTAAAATATTTTCACAGGTGTGCCTCCAATTAACTTCTATGTTGTCATCTATCAACAGCTTTCAAAGTCATGTCATGGTGATGGCTTGCCAAAATAGTTTGAAGGCATATTAATCTTTGAACATCTCACTCACAAGTCCTGGTCTTAACTGTACATCATGTACATCAAAATGCTAATCCCTGTCATGAGCGTCCTTAGACGTCTGGCAGAGCGTGTGTGTTACTCCAGTTCAGTGATTATGTCAACATGGATTATAGATCATCCCCGTTCATAATGATATGTTCCCATATTCACCTACGTCATGTGATTGATGCTTGGTTGTCTGTCTCTAAGTGTAGCCCTGTGATAGACTGGTTACCTGTCCAGGTGAACCTGCCTTCACCCTGAGTCAGCTGGGATAGGCTCCAGCCCCCCCGCAACCCTAGTGAGGATTAAGCGGTGTATAGATAATGGATGGATGGATGGATGAAAGCGTTCTGAAGCCCTGCAATGATTTGGTTTTTATCTGGGTTTTTTTTGTTGTTTTTAAAAAAAAATCCCTTCTTAAATTTCTGCAGTGCTGTGCTGAGCCAAACACTCATGCACTGATCAGTTCACATGTCTTGCCCATGTTCACATAAAGCACATAACAGGTTTTGTGACAGTATCTCACACAGGTGGAATTGTAAACCTGTAATACCTGTCTTATCATCCTAACAGACTTGAGAGAGCACTGTCTGTTTTCCGCAGCCTGTGAGGAGAATGCAACACAACAGAGTTGATCTGAGGACACAGCTTATCAAATGAAGTACAATTCTTTTTGCAAGATTATTTTTCAGGCTTCCCCTTTTATTGTACAGTGTAGAGAGACGGAGAAATGTGGGGGAAAGACATGCAGCAAACGAGCCGCTGGCTGGACTTGAACCGTGGCCGCTGCATTGGGGACTACGTGGGTCACCATCTTATCCGGTTTTGCTACCGGGGTGCCCCAAATGAAGTACAATTCCTTATCCTACCCAGCACAGGCCCACCACTCAGTAACCACCAGACCCTCTACTCAGGTCAAGAACTGCATGGCGGCATTGTGTGTGATCTGCCTTGCAGGTTTTGATTACATGCAAACCTCATTCGGTCTCTGCTTAGTTCATCTTGTGACCTGGACTCTGACCCAGAACTATGTCTTCAGAGCAGGCAAAAATGATGCACATGGAGCCTAGAAAAAAATTGTTATCAGAGCTTTCTTTTACATTTCCTTTTTTAGTCATTCACTGGCTGAGTCCAGAAATGAACACCGTTCACCCGTCTGATGATTTACCATCATTCTTTTTGGTGATAATAGATTTTATATGTGCATATTGAACATATGTAAATCTTATCATTTGTATTGTCAACTACAGTAAAACAAACAAACAAAAAAGACTAACTAACAAAAGTAACTAACAAACAAAGGATCATCCTCAAAAGTCCTCTCACTTGCAAACTGGCAAACATTCTCTGTCAGGAAAGGGAAAGCTTCACAGAGCGGGACACAGTGTCCCACCTGTTGGTGGGATGTCCCCATTTCATCATTGCTCCCTTTTGATGGGAACTGCAATGTCTTAATAATAATAATAATAATAATAATAATAATCCATCCATCCATCCATTATCTAGACATCGCTTAATCCTCACTAGGGTCACGGGGGGCTGGAGTAAGAAAAAAACACTGATCAATACAGGGAAACATAATGTTCGCAGATGTGACTAATGGGAAAGAAGACACGATAGAACAACACTGTTAGAAACATGAGGCTGCATGACCTGTTGAACAACATTCTAAAGGGTCAAGTGTTGACAGATGGGTACCAAGGTACATTTCTGTTGTCTGGTAAATTCTCTATCTGTCATTTCTTTTCAATCAGTGCTGCAAGGATTAGGCCCATTTTAAAAAAAAAACAACATCTCTTTAAAATTTCTATTCATGACCTGGACCCCCCCCCCCCACTTTGTTTGTCTTCATGCGATTTAACTTCTTCCTTGTTGTTTTAGTTTTATTACTATATTGAATATTTCGCCTGTCTTTATTTTAGGCTGCTCTCAAAATAAAACTCAATAAAACTCTCATACAGGTGGGTGTCTTCCACTGTCGTTTCTCCAGACTGTCAAATGACCCAGACGTATATATACTAGATTTGGTGGTTGGCATTCAACGTTTCAGGTGCATTACCACCACCTACTGGACAGAAGTTACCTATAGTTTTGCGAGATACCTCTATTTTCTTTGGTCCTCTCCCTGTTGTTGTTGTTATTAATTTCTTTACTCCAGCGTTTTGAATCTTACTGTTAAAATTAATAACTATATTTATTACATCTGCCAGAAGTGATGTCGTTGTTCGTGTTGTTGCAATATGGGTATCACATAAATAAAGTTATTCATGAAAAAAATACGAGGCAGGAAAAAGGCATGTGATCCAAAATCTCTAAAGGTACGAGTAAATTTTGATCAAATAAACATTCTGCAAGAGAAGAAATTAGTTCTCAATCATATTTCAGCATCTAGTTTGAGGGTTTTAGTTTTTTTTCTTCACGAATGATGCAAGCACTGAATCACACTCCACACCACTTGGTGGCGGTAACACATGCATTCGTTGTTTGTTCCGCCGATAAGCTCGTGAACACGCTACACGCTTCCTCGCTCCCAGTTGCGCGCTCCTTTCCATCCGCGTGCCCGAGGGTTTTAACAGTGCAACTCCGCTGAGGGACTCCAACCGGGAAGAGAAATGCCATCAAAAGTCGTCTTTGAGACAGAAGAACAAGTAATGGAAGACAGCGTGGACACTGTAGCGGAGGTTAAACCCCTGAAGGTGAGTAAAGTGTGTCGTGTCGCCGTGGACGGACTTTAAAAACCCGTGTGTGTGCTCCGGCTGCTCCCTGTTTTTAACATGTGGCTGGACGTGCTACCGCGAAACCTCGGCTAACCGGACAGCTAGCGCTACTTCACTGTTAGGAAAACAGCAACGGAGAACTCACACGAGATTAGCTTTTGCAACGAATTTAGTAAGAAAATGTTGGATTCACCTCGTAGCTCTCAGTGTTATTGTGTTCTGTTGCGGAGGTAAGGTTAGCATGCATTGTCTACGTAGGCACGTGGATTAGCTAACATACAGTACAAGATCACGTGGTGAGCCCATGTGCTGCTGAGCTGATCTGTAAGCTACATGGACTCTTTGCTTGTCAACATGGAGATCCTGAACAGTCTCATCACGTTTCTGTAAATCTGCGCCGTGGGCGCGAAATGATGAAGTCACAGCCAGCTGGTCTCGTCAGCTGTGAGCCAGATGTACAAACGGTACATTTAATTCTAGCTGACAGTAACTGTCGAGTTGTTGCTCAATTGTTCGAACGTTGGTGATTTATTTATTTTATTTTTATTTTTTTATGCAAAGAGCCTCCTGAATTCAGTATCACTCACATAAAGTGTGACTACAGCTGGGATGTTTTTATCAGCCTCACGAGGTCGACAGTACATGTGGTTAGTGGATGCAGAGTTTTGCAAAATGATAATCCCATTTCTGAAATAAGTCTTTTAACTGGAATTGCACACACCGCTTATTATTGTCTCTTTGTTTGTTGTTTATAGTCAGAATTATGTACTATGTTTATTGTCTATGTCCTGTTTACAGCTGTACTCTTTTTTGCTATTTTTATACTTTAATGCTTTTTTTCTATGTTCATTTTGCACAAATAGATTATCTTTTTGGGTAACCAGTTTGATCAAGAGGAGAATTTGATTTGGAACTGCTTTTCTAATTTTGGACCTTAGTAACATAATATAAGAAGGAGAATAATGTTCGATATGAGGTAGAAAATTCAATTTTCTCTAGTTGGATGCTTTTAAATTGTGAATACCATACTAATTAGTATATGTACCTAATAGGCAATGCAAGGCGGGTTTATTGATATAGCACAATTCGTACCTGAGGCAATTCAAAGGCGTCACACAAAACTATAAGAAGACAGATTAAGTCAATCCACAAAACATGAACATAATCATTAATTAATTAGATCAAAAGCAAAGAAGTGGGTAAAATCAATCCATAAAAACATAAATATGATAATTAATTACTTGAACTTTATTATTTCAATATGGTGAGTTGATGGCCTACATGAAATGAAACTGTCAAAGCGCCTTTTAGAACATTTTTCATACTCAAGAGTATTTGGTTTATCTAAGTGCTATTTTGTTGTCTTAAAAATAACAAGAACAAGACCAAGGAGGACAAGAAGCTGAAGAAGAAACAGCAGCAGCAGTTGGAGGAGCAGGATGACCCAGACTGCAGCCCTCCGGCACCAAAGAAGAAAAAGAAAAAAGACAAGCTGGCAGCGGACCAAGTGAACGGCGACGCAGATGTGGCCACAGACATGAATGGTGACAGTAATGGTGTAGAAACACCAAAGAAGAAGAAGAGCAAGAAGAACACAGAAGGAGAGGAAGAGGTCAGTGCTATATTGTTTGTGTCGAATCAGATTTCCTTACCACAGTGTTTATGGGCATCATTAATTGTTACCAGGCTGGTTGGGGTTACAATCATTGAGAATATTATTGTTTATTCTCCGTAAACGCCCTTGCAGACGGTGTCATATCCGTTTGTTCAACCCTCTGTCCTTTCTTTGCTTGGGTTTTAGAAAACCAAGAAGAAGGAAAAGAAAGCAATTGCAGAAGCAGAAACCAATGGACATTCCACCCCAAACACCCCAGTTCAGACTCCCATCCAGACACCCTCCCAGTCAAGTGATGACTCAGCCAGTGACAGCGATAAAGAAAAGGTAAGATTTGGAGCAGGAGGGACTGTACTGGTTTTTAGCTTTTCCCAGCTTCATCACGAGAACTTGAGTTATGAGTTTTCCTGTGTTATCTGGCTGTTGCATCAGTTAGAGATTCGCAGTCGTGATCTTTGAAGTTTGTATTCTGTTTGATAGTTCAAAGCTGGAGTGGACACACACACACACACACACACACACACCGGCTGTGATTGGTTTAGGAGAAGTGAAGAGAGGAGCAACCATGTGATAGACACGGAGTACGCTATAGCTGCTAGGAGTATAGTGGAAAACCTTAGGAGGCATCCAAGTAAAGTTTGTAATGTTGTGGTTAAAAAAAAATAAAAAATACTGACAAACTTGGTGTTTAGAGAAAAGAGTTCAGTGTCACATCATGAGCAGTGTCTGTGTAATTACTGTCACTGCCAGAAGGGGGAGACACTGCACCACACTGTTCAGCTCTTCCTCAATCCTTTTTTTTCAGGTGTTACATTTTGGTTATGACATTTATGCATTTTTATCACATACTACAGAATGGCCACTCTGTTATCGTTTTTTGTGTTCTTTAATTCCTAAACTGAACTCTTGAGATTTAGTTGTTGTTTTTTTTTTTTAAAAGATACCCAAAGTTGGCTGTAGGCAGACATTTAGACTGACTCTGTTTCTTTGTTTAGGAGGAGACACCGGAGCAGAGAGAAGGGGCCTTCTCCAACTTCAGAATCTCCCAAGTCACTATTGATAAGCTGAAAGGTAAACATAATATATCCATTGTTCTATTTTCGTGACGGCTCAAGATCAAATTTGTCACTGATACATGTGCAAACTCTGGCATTCTCACAGTTCTCTAGATGTAGGCAATTTTGTTGTTAAATGTGGATTCTTATGGATGTGTTTTAAAAAGTTGCACAGACCAGGTTGAACAGCTGCTATTTTTTATGAATATTGACTGACCTTTTGTGCGAGCCTGCGTGAACAACGTGCAACCAACAGTTGAAGCTGAATTTTGGTGTTCACTATCACGGACTGAAAGAAATGCAATAATTCTTGTTCGAAGTGGCTCTTCTTGTACTGCAAAAGTAATTCTCAGTGGGCTTTGGAGTTGCTGAGGTGAATTGGGGTGTGTTAAATAACAAATTGCCATTGATCCACTGTCTTCTCCCCGTGCCTCTTCATCCCACTTTCTTATTTTCTGTCGCTCTGCTATCACTTTCTCAGCTCGGGGAGTCTCTTACCTGTTTGACATTCAGGTAAAGACATTTGATCCTGTATATGACGGAGAGGATGTAATTGCCCAAGCCAGAACCGGAACAGGAAAGACTTTCTCCTTCGCTATCCCTTTGGTGGAGAAGCTCCAGAGGGATTCAGCAGAGATGACCAGAGGCCGGCCTCCCAAGGTAAACACCTGTGCACATTCACACCAGTCACTGAATGCTAGCACATGTCAAGCTCCCAGTGTCACTTGCTCTCTGAGTAGGCCTGTGTCATAATGTCTTTTCTGTCTATCTGTAGGTTCTGGTGTTGGCTCCAACCAGAGAGTTGGCCATTCAGGTCGCTAAGGATTTCAAGGACGTCTCCAAGAGGCTGTCTATTGCCTGTTTCTACGGAGGCAGCTCATACAACCCACAGAGTAAGTCTCATGCAAAGACATGCATTTTCCTTTAACAGATGTAGTTTTGTAATACATATAAAAACAACAATAAGAGGGACACAATGCATTGTTTATCTGATCTGTCAAAACAACCCTGTTTATCTTACACTTGTGATTTATGCAGGCCCTCGATTCTACCCCGTCTGAAACACTGTTCTTATTTGCCAGCCTAACTTAAAATGTCAATATCTTAAGTACTGCATTGGAATGTGATCTGAAGTATGTGAGTTAACGACAGCCACTCTTTGACCAATGTCAGGCTGCAGGAAGCAATTTGCATCCATTCATTAGAAGTTTTGAAACTTTATTCACATTGAATGCTACTTTCTGTGTGATGTGATTCAAATTCGTCTCTTTTTTTGGTTAACCATTTAACCTTCTGAACTCCAAAACCAACCAGTGGGTTTGAAAAGCATGTTATTTTTATAATAGCCAAAATTATGCCTTGCATTAGAGCCAAAGCTGTACAAACAGTCTGAAGGTATCACGTGTGACTTCTTTGGTTTTTTTCTGGAAAATAGACCAAGCCTCAGCTGAAAATTGTTGCACTTAAAAGTATTGTGTGCATTAATCAGATTCTGTTAAAAAAAAAAAAAAAAAATCTGTTCCTTGTTGCAATGAGTAACTCTGCTACATCCAGCAGTCACATCACAAAACTTCACAGGCCTGTTGTTGAACTGCAGACTGTGTTTTCACAGAGCAAATCTGAGACTATTATGGGTCATGTAAGTAGTAGAATATCTATAGCTTGTAGAGCCGCCATGTTCCCTCTGTGTTGGTAACACCAGGGCAGATGGAAAAATATTGTACTTGTTAGTTGCTGGTCATCTTCATTTTATGTAAAATAATCCAAGAAATTCAACTTTAAAAAATGATTTATGGCATTATAACTTTGTTGTAACTTTGTTCTCTGAACTTCTACTTCTAGTTTTGCTGTTTCCATAGAAATACTGGATTTTATAATGAAAAATGAGTCCACAGTAAAAAAAACAAAAAAGAAGTGATAGGAGCAGAAAACTTCCACTTGGTTCAACTCAGTCTGCCTGGGGTTCAGAGGGTTAAATAGACGATCGCTAACAGGACCTTACATATAATCAACCCATTTTGTCCCACGTCTTTCAAACTTGTAACAACACGTTTTATGTTTTAATGTTAACTCGCTTTACTCCTCTCTTCCTGTCTAGTCGATGCTATCCGCAATGGAATTGATATTTTGGTCGGAACCCCTGGTCGCATCAAAGACCACCTCCAGAACAATAAACTCAACCTCACCAAACTGAAACACGTTGTTCTGGATGAAGTCGACCAGATGTTGGACATGGGATTTGCAGAGCAGGTCGAGGAGATTTTGGGTTCATCATATAAGAAAGGTAAAGTAAATCAGTGTGTGTTTGTGTGACGTGTTCTTCTTTTGTACGATGTGTGTGTTCATTTTTCTGTGTGTGTACAAGGCGAAGTGTGAGGAGTGTAGTTTGTTTATCTGATATGGTCGATTAAAGATTGTTTCGTGTATGTAAAATAGAATTTGTGTGTCCCTTGTAGACAGTGACGCCAACCCACAGACTCTTCTGTTTTCCGCCACCTGCCCCCCTTGGGTGTATGATGTGGCCAAGAAATACATGAGACCAGCGTGCAAACATGTTGACCTGATTGGCAAGAAAACACAGAAAGCTGCAACAACTGTGGAAGTAAGTGTGTGTGTGTGTGTGTGTGTTTACATAGCTCGGGGTGAAGACTGTGTGATGGGTGCAATTTAATAAGCTTTACAGCAATCTCTCAAAGTCGCCTGCAGGGTCAGTAAACGTAACAGAGACTGTAAAGTAAGCTCACATACATCTCCATCAGAAAAGCTCAGCAAGTTCATTTGCAGTAAAAATTGCTGTATTTATCATCATCCACACCAGTGGAATTGTAATGAAGTACAAGTTAAAGTCTGCCAGCTGGATTAATGAAAACGTCCCTCTTCTCACTCCCTGGTTTCACCCCCCACCCCCCCTTTGTTTATCTTTTGTTTTTGTGTCTCTCCACCTGATCCGCTGTAGCATCTGGCCATAGCGTGTCACTGGTCACAGCGTGCGGCGGTGATCGGCGATGTGATCCAGGTGTACAGTGGCAGCCACGGCAGAACCATCATCTTCTGCGAGACAAAGAAAGAGGCCAATGAACTGTCCATGAATGCATCCATCAAACAGGTAGACGCATAAATGCATAATGCACATTTAGCAGTGTACGAATAGTTATAGTATATGTTACATCTTTAATTTATAAAATCATCCACTGACATTTTTTATATTCCGTAACTTCATAACAAGAATCATTTTGAGAGTTCTGGGAGTTGTGACAGATTAATTTTTCAATCAGCGGTCGCCTTGCTTCTTAAAAATTACAATTTCTGCTTTTTATCCTTGAGTTCCATTTGTCATTTATTTTGGTTTGGCTGCTTTCAGAGTTGCCAGTCCCTCCATGGCGATATTCCACAGAAACAGAGAGAGATGACGCTAAAGGGCTTCAGGAACGGGACCTTTGAGGTTCTGGTTGCCACAAATGTTGCAGCCCGTGGATTAGACATCCCTGAAGTCGACTTGGTGGTCCAGTGTTCTCCACCCAAGGTGCGATGGGTTGCAGTAGGAATGTTAAAACTGAGGGTGCAGATTAAAGTCATGCAACATGGTGTATTTACAAATTAGCATTAGCGTGCTTCAAGCAGTTACAGTACACTCGTTTGCACCAGCTGAGTGATGAAAATGAAGAATTAACTCTTAGATGATTGACACTAAGTTCACACTTGTTGATCAGCAGTGTTGCATTAAATTAAACATAAAGGCCTGTCCATTTTTACTGTCTCTGAAAAATGTTCTGTCTCTGTGTGCTGTCAGGATGTGGAGTCGTACATTCATCGTTCGGGACGTACAGGCCGAGCAGGCAGGACTGGAATCTGCATCTGCTTCTACCAAAGGAAAGAAGAGGACCAGCTGCGCTATGTAGAAAACAAAGCAGTAAGTGTCTTTTCACTTCTGGATGAAGGAGTAAAGGCAGGCAAAGAGGAGCGCAGTGTTCATTTTGGCACCTAATATTGGTTTAGTTTTAGTCCTGTGATGAAAATGTGTATCAGTTCTGGCACTTTTTAGTCATTAGATCTTCATTGTAACTTTTCTAAACTCTGTTTGTTCTCCCTCTCTGTCCTGCTCACCTCACATTGCAGCAGCTGCTTGGTCTGTCTTACTACAGAGCAGCAACTCATCTAGTAAATGAGTCACTCACACGTTCACTATAATCCTATTTACTGTCTGGGTTTAGCATGAAACGGGACACTAAATGGTTAGAAAACATTTCCAAAAGGTAGATGAGATCGTTAATGAATATTTTTGGTAACAATTTTCGTTGACAAAGTTAACTCGGGAGGAGCGACAGATTGACTTATTCGAGCAGCTAAAAAAAAAAAAAAAAAAAAAAAAAACCAGAGCCTTCAGTGACATCTGTGCTACTCATGAGATGGGAAGAGGATAGTTTCCTGCCTTGTTGGATTTAAAAGGTGCTCCATGAACAAAAAATATTACCGTTATTTGTAAAAGTGGTGAAGACAGAAAGGTAGAAGACTGAGTGTTTTCTTAGAGGCTATTGAGAACTCCTAATTTTTTCTTGTAGCTGGAAGTAGTGTTTAATATTGCAAATCTATTGCCAAAGAAATGGATAACTGTCTGTACAATCTGTATGACTCCACATGACATGTTTCTGTATTAATTACCATATTAAAAACCTTTTTATTCTGTATTATTCCAGTGCATCACATTCAGGCGTGTTGGCGTTCCCACTGCAAATGATATCATCAAGTCATCAAGCAAAGATGCTGCCAGGTAAGTGACTGTCAGGAGCGAGAGCCGAGGGCAGACAAATATATATTATTTTGGAAGTAAGAACCGAGAGTAATTGAATAATATTTAAAACCTTGGAGTCCACATTTGGTAAAGGATGAGGACTCTGATTTTTACTTGAGTGACTTAGTGGCGTAGCGCTTACGTAGGCTTTTAACAGTGGCTCCACAAAGTCTGAGTCATGATGGGGCTCCATGCGAAAAGTATTTCCTGTTGACACGTGTTACATAGTGGTTGTTTTTTTTTTTTTTCTCTATTCAGGTTTCTGGACTCTGTTTCGGCCACAGCTATTGATTACTTCAGGGAATCAGCGGAAAAGCTGATCGAAGAGAAAGGAGCAGTTGATGCGCTAGCTGCTGCCCTGGCCCACATTTCTGGAGCCACAAGTCTAGAGCAGAGGTCACTGCTCAGCTCCGATGCTGTAAGTTACGCACACATGCAGTTTAGCAGTAAGCCTGGACTGAGTGCTTTATAACAGCAGGCACCTTTCACCCTCTTGATACAGCTTTTATAGCAAGATAATAATAATAAACTTTATTTATAGAGCTCTTTTCAAAACAAATGTTACAAAGTGCTTTTCAATAAAAAATAAATTAAAAATTAAAATAGAATAAGCACACAGAATAAGTGATGAAAGTAGAAAGCATACAAATAAAGCAGGAAGCTAAAAAACTTAAATAAAATCAGGAACATCTCTCCGATAAAAATGTGTTTTAAGAAGTGACTTGAAAGAGAGCGCAGACTTTGCCGACTGGATTTCTTCGGGCAGGTCGTTCCAGAGCCTCGGACTGAAAATGCTCTGTCCCCCTTTTGTTTTCAGCCGGGCCTCTGGGACAGTTAACCGACTTTTGCCCGAGGATCGTAGGAAGCGTGGTGGAGAGTATGGAGTTAAAACGTCGGCAGTGTAAATAGGGCAGAGAGCGTCGAGTGCTTTAAAAGTGATTAGTAAAATCTTAAAATCCATCTTAAAACGTACTGGCAGCCAATGTAAAAGAGCTAAAATAGGCGTGATGTGCTCAGGTTTCCTCTTCCTGGTTAAAAGCCTGGCAGCAGAGTTCTGCACCGTCTGTAGTCTGTCCAGGGATTTCTGATTAAGACACGTAAAAAAGGCTGTTGCAGTAATCCAGCCGCGAGGAAATAAAAGCATGTTAAATCGTCTCTGTATCTTTAAAAGTTAAGTAAGAACGGATCTTTGAAATATTTCTAAGATGACAAAAACAAGACTGTACAAGATAAGTTTGCGTCTGCTCATGTAGATGCTGCAGTCCCTGGATGCTAATGTGCTGACTTGACATATTGTCACTGCCTCCCACTTGACTTGTACTCCACCTAGATTCTGTTGTTGTGCCTTCGGTGATGTATGCCTGTAACGCACTGTTTCTGTTTGTTTTTGCAGGGGTTCACCACGATGCAGTTGGTGTGTTCCCAGGAGATGCATGGTCTGGGTTACGCTTGGAAGAGCATCAGAGAACAGCTGGGAGACGAGTTTGAGAACAACATTCAGAGAATGACCTTCCTGAAAGGCAAAACGGTACGTACACGCACACACACGCGCACACACACACACACACACACACAAACACTAACATATGTGAGGTGTTGCTGCTGTGCACATAAGTCCTAGTAATGTATTCCAGTTACATTTCCCCTGTTTTCAATTGTGGGTTGTATTGAATTTAATGTTCCAAATGTACCACATTTGTACAATACATCTGACTGCATGCTTAGAGTTTTATTGGTTTTATTGTAAGGGAGGTTATGTTTCAAGGTGTGTATGCCGGCTTGAAGGGAGTGTTGGGATGTAGTTTGCATAGAATTGGGCCCAAATGAAATCCGGTGAGCGTTCTTATTAGATTTGACTTGAAATCACAGTGTCTTGCCAAAAAAACACCCCAGAGTGCTGCATAAATGATAACAACTGAATAGGCAAATGGAAATATAAATGGGAAACCCACTGGTAAATCAAAATGCAAATTAAGAAAAGAATGTCTTTTTCAAAAATATTTTTCCGTTTATGTGTGAATTTAGCCTCTCCATCACACAATCAGCACAGAGCTAATTATCCACAGCAAGTCAAGAGAAAAAACATCTGTTCACATAAAGTGAATGTGTGAAACCTTTTTTTTGACTGAGCGAGACACAAACATTCATCATCTCGCCCTTATTGTGTTTGTAACAGGGAGTTTGCTTTGATGTCGCGGCTGATAAAGTCAAGGAGATGCAGGTGAGAACAACAGCAAAGCCCTCATCTGTTCAACATGTGCACTGGACTGTTTGTAATGTCTTCATCATTGAAAGAGTCACAACAATCTAAAGGAAAATGTAAATATTGTGACAGTGTTTTGTGTAGAAGTTGGCAGACTGTCGTAGTTCTGCTAAAATCCTTCTCAACCCACCTGCTTCTTCAACAGGACAACTGGAAGGACGGTCGCCGTTGGCAACTGACTGTAGCCACAGAGCTCCCAGAGCTGGAGGAGAAGCAGTTCAGTAACCGTGGTGACAGAAGAGGCAATGGCAACCGTGGCGACAGAGGAGGGTTCAGAGGTGGAAGGGGACGAAATTTTAGGGGAAATGGTGGCCGTGGCAACGGGTTCCGGAGCGGTGGCTTTGGCAACAACCGAGGAAGAGGACAGAAACGCAGCTTCGGCCAAGCTTTTGACTCCTGAAGCACCAACCTGTGGACTGATGACTGTCACTCACCTGGGCCAGCAGCAGTTTTTATTGGCTGTTGGTGGGAGGGGCCAGTGTGAGGCTGAGTAAAAAAATCTTCAAAATGATACAAGCGGAATTGTAATTTAATACCCAGTTCATTAAATTGCAGATTGTCACACATAGTATGAACAGAACTGGTTATCTGAAGTGTTGGTTAATTTTCAATTAGCCTTTCAAAAAGGCTCACAGATAGAAATTTCTTTTAAAGGGTATATTAACACAATACAACTGGTAGCCACTTTGTAATGTCTGACATGTACTTCTTTAAGTTGACACATTAGCTGAAACTCTTGGAACGACATGCTCCTGAAAGCTGAAATGTTACTGTACTGTATAAATGAGTGCATATTTCAGTTGCCACGTCTTGAATGGCACAAGTTCAGAAACATTGGCTAATAAACCTAAAGGTTTTGCATTATGTAACAAAATGACATAAAATATAAGTTGGAAAATGCCCTCCATTGAGTTTTAGGTAAGGTGTTTTTGTTTTTTTGTTTTTGTTTTATATTGGGTGTTTGGGGAACAGTTGCAGCAATCAGACTTGGGCATTTGTCCCAATCAGAAGACTCATACTTCTGACTTTGTAAACCTGACCATTGTTGCATGATTACACTGCCTTTTTTGTACGACCATGAAGGTGCACTATACTGCAGACACTGTGTCATGTGGGAGGCACTTTGTTTCTGCTCTGCACCCGCAGGGAACAATAATGAAAGGAGTGTTAACCTTTACAGTTGTGCTCATGTCAGGTTGCTGCATTACCCTCATCTGAAACCTGTCTCCCCAAAAATATATTGGATGATTGCTTTGCAATTGCCTCTATTTAATGACTGTGTCTACTGCTTCCATTCATTTGAATGACTTCTTCATTAAAGAAAAAAGGTCACCAAATATTGTGGTTCTTTTTTTTTTTTTGTCAAGGCTGTGTAAAATGAGCACATATGCATTCACAAATACATCAAGACACGTGCTTCAGTCTTGCTGCTTTCAGAATGTGAATTTACGAGGATATAATCCTAAATTCACAGATTCTATGAACTGCTGTGTTTTATGTTAAGTTGCAGTGCAGCAGACTGAGAAAAGACGACTGCACAGAACGCACCTTAAAGGCTTTTGGAACTAGAATTGAAATACCCACCCGATAAACCTCCTACCTCACCCTGTACACTCATTCAGTGCAGGGACACAGTTCTGTGGTGCACCAGGGCAACCCTATCTCTGCTTCACATAGAAAACATGCAAAAAATTCTTTGAATGGTTTGATTTATTGAAGTTTAATTAGTAAAAATGAACAAAATAATGTTTTTTTTTCAGTCTCATTTTGACTTCAGGGTTTAATGACAACAGTTCTGCCAGTCTGATCCCAATCTACCAGAAATCAAACGATGTGTGCGATAGCTCCTGCGCAAGATATTTAGGTCTCAAAGTATTTATTTAGCAGATAGCTGAATAAGCATACAGAGCTCTGGATCAAACTTCTCACCTGAGCACAGACAGAGTTAATGTCAGGGCGCGAAGTCTGACTGACTGCCTCTCCCTGATCCAGTGTACTTATACTGTTACATGAGGATGTGCACAGAATGTGTTGCAGCTAGCTGATTGGTTCCTTCGTGTCCTTGGGCCTTCTTCCACCATCTCGTGGGTGCAGAAACTTGCCGCTCAGCACCCAACTGTTGAGCACCTTCAGTTCCTCCCTCCTGCAGATAGCTGCTTGTGACAGGGAAAGATATACACAAACCACCAAGTCCTGTTTCCACCTACGTTTTTCGATTGTTTACAAATTATTTTGATTATGCTTTAAGATAATAATAAGAGATTAAGAGAATGATAAGAGATTGTCATGGTATTCAGTGTTTTTTTTTATTTTTTTACAAGTCTATTTTTCACATCATAATTCAAATCATTTCATTGCTTTTCCAGTCAGTTTGCTTAATTTTTTTCTAGACATTTCTCTCTTTTTGTACAGTGCAATAACTGACATTAATAATTACACCATTTTTAATAAGGCTACAGTAAATTACACAAGAACAAAAAACATGTACAAGGTTTAACAGTAAAATGTGAGAAGTGTCTCTCACAATATTTAATGTGCAAATGTTGCATTTCATATTTCTGAAGGACTCGCACAGTTTTCTGGAAGTTTTTCATATTTTTACTTTTTCTTTTTTTTTTTTTTTTAAAAAGTGACAGGGAGTTCAGATATACTGATATCCAGATATTCATTATTGTGATTTATTTGATAGATTTTTATGCAGACAAGCCAAAAAGGACAATCACAAACTACACTGATTTTTCTGTAAACTTTCTGAGTGTATGTTGTACAAAGAGCTCTTTTACTCGTTTTGTTTTCAACCCCTTAGTTATTGAACAGTGGGAAGTGCCGTCTGCACCACTAATTGTACATTTCATTCTGTATTTGTTGTATTTTGCGCTCTTGCGTCAACTCACAACACTCTTTTAGACCCTGATTTCTGATCAGAACATTCAAAAAGCCCTTGGACCTGATGCCTGCAACCACACTTCAAACAGAATAAATACAAAGCTGAGGAGCAAATACATTCAAACAATCCCTCACCCGCCCCATTAAAACCATTCTTTGCTCATCATGTTGTGCTAAAATCCTGACTCAGGTCTTATTAATTCCTCATTTTGCATTGTCAAACAAAGCTTATTGGATGTGTAATAATTGATTTCCCTTGTGCCATTTTGCCTCCCCAGCTGGATTACACTCAAATGACTCGCTGGGAGGCAAAACGTCTGCTGACGACTAGATGAAGAACGTAATACTTCTCGTGAGCAATTTTAAGACATGGCTTGTCTACTGTCTGACAGTCTGTGCAGTATGACCATGATCAAAATGTATTTAATGTATTGTGAAAGTCCTCGGTGGAGGACACAGCCCTCAGGCGGTGAGAGACTCGCTGATTCACCGCCTTTCGGTGTGGGCTGCTTGTTGCGTTTCTCTAGTTGAAGCTGGTTGTTATTGATGACACGTCATCGCTGGTGAGGGAAAGCGGTGCGGTATAGGCATTCTCCACAGTGTAGTCTTCTTCATCATCCTCATCCTCCTACATCGCAGAAATACACACACAGGGAACAAAAATCTTATCAGCTACATCGACGAGTGAATGACCAGACTTTTCCTGACTGTTTCTATGTTGTTAACCAAACGTCTCTGGCTTTCAATCTTCTGCGGGAATGTTTGTTGCGTATCGCTTTACTGGCACAATGCTGAGTCAAAACCTTTTGAAATGCTGCTCTGTCGGTTTGTGTGACAGTTGAAACATACCTCTTTGTATTTATTGGTTTCACAGAAAATACATAGCAGGAACTCTGGGGAAAATTGGAGTCTGTCTGCACCAGTTTAATTGTCTATTTCTAGGCTGTTGTGTTGGCCTCGGTCATCAGTTCAGCCACTTAAACTGACCATTACGGGTGCCTGCATTGTGCAGAGTGGAGCATGATGACACTTTATTCATTGTACACTTTATTTTGAATCTGTTCTATTGTGCACTTGTGTGTCGACCTGCCCAGGAACTGAAGTGGAATATAGCTAACATAACACCAGTGGTGGATTGTAACTACGTTTACTCATGTACTGTGCATTTGTGTAATTTTGAGGTACTTCTGCTTCACATAAATATTTCAAATTTGTAATTTGACTTCACACTCATTTCCTGCTTAATTACGACAGCTTGAAGTCCACTACTACAGATCACCATATAAAATGCAAGCTTCTGACCTTTTACAAACACATCATACTCAGACTTCTTATCATGTCTTATACGTCTGAGTTGTTCATAATTCCACCAAAAGGCATTTCTTCAATAAACTAATAAAATAGCTCTATTTAAATGTCAAATCTCCAAATAAAACAACAGTTTGAGGCCCAAAGAGTGAAAATGATGTAATAATTTAAAGAGTTCTCGCCAGACACTTTCTTTTCCTCCCAACTAACCGTCTCATGTCCTCTCATATTTATCTTGTTATCAATTAAAGGGTCCTGTCCCTTAGATTGGGGACGACTGGAACACAGTTTTTAATTGTATGGCCTGAAAATCTAAAATAGCAAAAAGCTGCTTACACACTGATGCGTCGGTCAGAATATAACACATTTTGCTTGACATATTTCTGCACATTTACCTGCTTTAAGATTTGCAAGGCTGCACTAAAGCTTATGCTTAATTATTTTTACACTCTGGCATTGATACTTTTAAACAAGCAGTAAGGATCTAAATGCTTCTTCCAACAGTGCAAAGCTCGCTGTTTCCCATACAGTCCAGTAATGTATCTCTTGGAATATCCCATTAATAAAGCTGCTGCTGTGATTGAAATAAAATTAGACCCATTTCTTTGTTGTAATCATTTTGCTATGGTCATTATGGCATGCATACACTGGACTTACATTGTTTATTCTACAGTATATTAGCATTGCTTCTCATTATTTAAATTTAAATTATGATCCTAGTTTCATTTTCTGGATAAACAAATGAAAGCAAGAGATCCCAGGTTGACCAGGGTCTAGATTTATCAAGCATCCAGAGGGAGGAAGTCACTCTTAACCGGCCCAAAAAATGTTAAGAATGAGTCTTGTAGATCAATAAAGTTCATCTAAGCCTAAAACTGAGTGAAACAGCGCCCCTCTGGGTCACAATGTGAGATAAACGTTAGTGAGCCTGTGTGGCGAGAGGCGGTACTGCAGCGCCACAGACAGACACAGGTGAGGTTTGCCGCCCTTAATTGGTACCTTCTAGAAAACTCAGTCAACGGTCGGAAGTCCGGCAAAAACGGTCGAGAGGAGCAACTGTGACCCTTTTTACTCCAAGTAAACCCTAGGAAAAGTTTTCCGAGTCGGTAAAGTAAAAACGTATTTTGTAGTTGGTAGGTTTTTCCAGCAACATTAATTATATTGACTAAGAGGACGAGCGACGTCGTTTTGAACCTGCGTCACAGAGGACATTTAAATATACGAAGTTGTCCGGACACGGAGGTCTTCAGACACTGGTATGTCAGTCAAACACACCCTCTACCTCTCTATTCTCACTTTTTCTCATAACAAATTCACAGTCTTTCTGTGTTTTATGAGGCTCTCTCTTTTTCTTTCTTTCTTTTTTGTTAAATAGTTCAGGTTTGGTAAAGTTTCTTGTTAAGCTGTATTTTGTGGCTGTGACGTGTGCAGAGGTCAGAGGTCCTTGGTTTCCTCCACTAGTCAGACTTTCGTTAGCTCTGGTTCGACATTTTGTGGTACTAGCTTAGCAAAAAAAAAAAAAAAACCCTCTCTAGACGCTCTTTCAGCAACACATGCCACCTTTAGTCCGTCGAGGTCCAACAGCAGCGTTACCAGTGAACCGGGGTACTGCATTAGTAGCACCAGGCCCAACTGGTCAGACTGGGGACGCACCAGTAGCCCTCTGGTACCAACTGTTAACACTGAAAACCTAACTGGTGAGCTGCAAAAGTTCTGAAATGTTGACTGATCGGACATAAATTCAGTGTAGTGATGACTGACAATCACCTTACTGTTGTACTAGTCATGATCGTAAAACCTGGATATCCCATTTTTAAAGCTGCTGCTGTGATTGAAATAAAATTAGACCCATTTCTTTGTTGTAATCATTTTACTATGGTCATTATAGCATGTATACACTGGACTTGCATTGTTTATTCTACAGTACAGTCGTACTGCTTCTCGATATTTAAATTCAAATGATGATCCTAGTATAATTTTTGGGATAAATGAAATGAAAGTAAGAGATCCCAGGTTGACCAGGGTCTATATTTATCAAGCATCCAGAGCGAGGAAGTCTCTCCTAACTGGCCCAAAATGTTAAGAATGAGGCTTATTTGGTCCTGTTTTCAGCTGTGATTTATCAGTAAGAAGTTTCCTGAAG